AAATAAAATGTTAATAAAAAAATTATTTTGATAAATTTATATATTTATATATATTATATATTTAAAAAATAATTAATATATAATTTAAAATATTTTTAAAATGATATTATTATATAATATATTAATAAATTTTAGAATATAATATATTTATTAATAAAATAATTAATTAATAATTTAATTATATTATATATATTATATTTAAAAAAAATATATATTATTATTTTATTTTAATAATTAATTAATTATTATTTATAATATTAAATTATCTATAAAATTAAATTGAAGATATTATATTTATTTATGTTTATATTTTATTTAGAAAATTAATAATTTATTTATTTATTTTATTTAATATTTATATTAATAATTTAAATTTTATAATTATATTTAAACATAAATAAAATAATAAATAAAAATATAAAATTATAAATGAAAAATAATTTTAAAATATATTTAAAATATATATTATGAAGAAAATTGAAATAATTATGAATATATAATTTATATTTCGCGAATAATTATATTATTATATATATATATTTGAATTATATATAATTTATTTATATTGATATATATTAATATAATAAATTTGTATTAAATTATATATTATTTTTTATATTAGCTAAATAGGAAGAAATTTCGAAATATTTATAAAAAATAATTGGAAAATAAAACCTAAAAAAAAATTAAATAAATTTATCTTAAATTTATAAATTTTTTATATGAGCGACGGCTCTTATTTGTATGTATGGGAAATAGTATTTAGACGTACCCCGATTTGTTAAAAATTATTATATTTAGCTTGTAAAACGAGGTAGGAATATCCCGAGAACGAAATAAGTAAAAACATTACGGGACTAGAAAACGAAATAGGAATACCCCGTCAATTGCGTTATATAACAAATATGGTCCGTAATTCATATAATTATCGAATTATTTTTTATTATATTTAGATACAATAATTTCAAAATAATTAATTATTTATATATATTACGATTTATATAAATAATTAAATTTATTTAAACAATATATAAAAAAATCAAATTAAAAAAAAAATAATATTATTAATATAATATTTTATTTCCTTAATTAGCAAAATCTAGCCGTGATTTTTAAATATTTAATAAAATAAATTTAATATACCAAAGATAAAATTAGATAATTTTATAATTTATTAAAGTTGTTTCCTCATTTAGCATGAGATAATAA